CACAGTCTCAACTCATATATAGTTAAAAATAATTCATCTGAAGGGACGTCTAAGACATCCAAAATTTGATTTAAATGATTTAAAAAAATTAAGTTGATCAAATTAGATTACTATTATTTTTTTGGAAAAAATAATAAAAAAGAATATATATCATAACATTCTTTAAATAGGAGATAAATCAATTTACACAGAAAAGTCAATTTTGTTATAAAATTTCTATTCGAATTCGAAAACAAGTTGAATGCAGATGTTTTTATAAATCTATATGATATTTTGCTATTGAAATCTAATACTTCTCAAATGTATCTTCTTAAATCTAAAATTGCTGTGTTACCATTAACATTTATACATTCTATCGCCACATTATGTAATTTGGTTTCAAAATATTTTGGGACGAAAAAATAAAATTGTCAACATAAAGGCATTTTGTATTTTTTTTAAATATATAGTGTGTTTGCAATATACTTTTGGAAAAATTAGAACCAGAATATTTATTTATGACAGTCACTTCAAGATAAGAGTCACTTTAAGTAGCTTTGATAAGAATAGCTTTGATTTTAATGATATTGATTTTTTTTTTTGGACAGCTTTGATTTTAATGAAATTTGATGTAATAGACAACCAAGTATGTATAACCAAGTAATTCTACAATTTTTTTATTTTTAATGTAAAAATTGTCCAAGTTGTGGACGGACATGTTGAAAAATAAAATTTTTATTTCTTATAAAAATAAAATTTTTATTTATTAAAATTTTTATTTAAAGAATGACAAACCCAATTACATATAAATTTTTCTTTATATATGTTTAAAAATTCTAAATACCATCACAAAGCAAAGGTTTAGGCATAGTTTAGCAAGGATTATACATATAAAAGCATAACTGCTATATTGGAGTCTTTCAAAAAAGTCAAAAATTGTTTTTAAACATTAATTTTGTTAATGGTCATGACAGGGTTGGCAAGATTTTGCCACGGGTGGAAAAAACCATGGTAAATACCGGTAAAAACCGTCCTGGCAAAAACAGGTTTTTGCCAAGCAAATTGGCAAAAAGTGGCAAAAACCTATATTTTCCAAGATGAGAGGACAAAAACACATTTTTGATACAAAATTATTCCTAAAATTGAAATATATACTATAAATATAAACAATTACAAAAAAATTAACAAAATTATTATTCCATAATTAAATGATAATGTAATAATATATCATTTTAGTAGTTTAAAACATTATTGATTGGAAAATTTGTGATTATTCTTTTTTTTCCGGTGAAATGAACTTATTTTAAATTAATATAACTATAATTTAAAACATAAAATATCTATCAATATGTGTAGTTAATTATTGTACAAATAATAATTTTTTATAATAAATAATAATATTATGCAAATAATAATATTTATTTATTTGTAAAAAAACATTTATTTTAGGATTCTAAAATGAAAAGAAATCACAAACTTTCAATCTTTTAAAAATTATTACCATTATATTAATTATTAATATGTTAAAAATAATTTTTTCATGTAATGTATCAAAATTACTATTCCTTATGATTGATTTAAATTTGTTTCAAGTATTTTGTAATAATATTTAATCAGCAATTTAGATAATTTGGTTTTTGCCGGTTTTTACCAGTTTTTGCCGGTTTTTACCAGGTTTTTGCCACTGTCCTGGCAAAAACCCCTTTTTGCCGGCAAAAACTCCAACCCTGGGTCATGATCTTTCTTAAAAAATGTTTAAACTATTATACTGACAAAAAAATTTAGATTTTTATTTCTATAGGCATTATATCCAGTTTTAACTATAGGTGCATATAATTGTACAGCATATTAATTCTGTACTAATATCCTATTTATCCACTAATAATATATGAGAAAAAATTCACTAATTAAATGCAAAAATATAACATGTGAATTATCATACCATTCAAGCGTAAGAAAATATGTTGTTTCTTAACTAAGGCAGCTTCTCTTTTTTGAGTAGAATATTCATTTTGCCTTAAAACAAGTGTTATGTTTGGCATCGTTTCATCACAGCTAAAACTTTCATCTAAATACAACTTGCTTGATTATTTCTTAGATCTTACATAAAATGTAACATATTTTCTTAGCTCTCTGAATTTAATTAAATCTTGATACCATGAAATTAAATGCTAGATAATAAAATTATTAGACATCAAAAATCATATTTTTAACTCTTCAGCATAATTAATAACTGTGAAAGTTACATAGCAAGTATTTCAAAAAATTTTAAAATGTTTATTTCTTCATTAGCACTGTGTTGAAATTCCTCTAACATATCTCCTAATGCTCTAGCCTCTTAATAGTTGATTCTCCCAAACACCACATACTGCAATATTAGGGCATCTGATTATGTAAATGAAAATTGGTTTCTTTAAAAATCCTTAAATTAGTAAGTTCATTCCAATCTTAAAAATAAAGTTTCTTGTACAGATATCTTATATGAATCCTACTAAAATAAATAGTCAGGAAATTGCTTTTCAAACATGGCAATTTGTTTCTAACCATGGCTTAAAGAACTGCTTTACGAAATTATACTTGAACAGCTTTTAAGAACTAAAGCTTAGGAGAAATTTCAAATTGAAATTCAAAATTCTTCAGAAATTGAGGGAGGGGGGATTTGTTTTGGCAATCAAAAATATTTTATGAAATTAAGAGTCACCAAGAAATAAATTTGGACATAAGACTTTACTCGAATTATCAGAATAACAAATGAGTTAGAAATCATTTTTCGTAACTTGAGGTTTGACAGAATTAGCTATTTTACTGGATTTTTTAAAAAAAATTTTATGTTTATCAAATTCAATTAAAACAAAAGCTAGGAGAATAATATTGAAAAAAAAAACTCAAGTATTAGTTAAGGACCTTCCAATGCCAAATTAACCCCAATGGCTATTACAAAATTTTTTTAACAAATACTACCTAGGAAATAATAATNCACCAAGAAATAAATTTGGACATAAGACTGTACTCTAATTATCAGAATAACAAATGAGTTAGAAATCATTTTTCGTAACTTGACGTTTGACAGAATTAGCTATTTTACTGGATTTTTAAAAAAAAATTTTATGTTTATCAAATTCAATTAAAACAAAAGCTAGGAGAATAACATTGAAGAAAAAACTCAAGTATTAGTTAAGGACCTTCCAATGCCAAATTAACCCCAATGGCTATTACAAAATTTTTAAACAAATACTATCTAGGAAATAGTAATAAAATTTAACAGAAAAATTATCTAGTTAATTCTTATTAAAACCTTATAACAAAAAAACAAAATGAATGATGAACGAAGCAGACATATATAAAAAAATAAATAATGATTACCTATACTAGATACTCTGATATTTTTAATACTATAATTTGACAGCATGCGAGTTTTGAATCGCGCATTAAAACAATTACTTTTTATGTGCCTTATTTGTACCGATTTTAACATAAATATAAGAGATTTTTCGAACTTGTTTTTTTTTCTTTTTCCTGTTAATTGCTGCATTATTACTCGTGATTTAAAATATCCTGATATTTTAGCACAATATTCAGGGATGAGAGTAGTCAGAAAGATTGCTTTATACTAGCTTTTAAAAAAAAAATTTAATTTTTTTTAACGTGGTCAATGTTTGAGCTTGAACCAAGTGAGGACTTTGGGCTTAAGTACACATGTTATATTTAACTATGGTTGCTTTCAACAAATTTTTTTAGTTTCGAAAATGTCAGTGTCTACATTCTGTTTTCCAACATTGACGCTTTGAAGTGCTTGCTCAACAAATTGCTTTTGTTGTTTCAATGTATTGTATTCCTTGTACAACTGTTGGAGCTGCTTAAAAAAGATTTCCTCCACCGGGTCCTTGTCAACAGTTTGAGACATTTCGTCTGTCGTTTGAGTTGTTTCATCGACGGTAAGAATCACTTTAGGAGTTTGAGCCTCTCGTGACATTTCATCCGCCGCCGTTGCTAGAGTCCTTTCCTCAGCAGCAGTTGCTAGACTCCTTTCCTCACCAACAGTTGGATTTGCTCGAATCACGTCTCGAGAATTTTCAAGCCTCACAAGTTGTGAGCCATCATTCAAATTATCTTTCCAAACTTGATTCTCAGACTCCATGCCACTATTGGAAGGTATATTCATACAAACCACGTAAAACACTCATTACGATAAGGAAGCGACCCACTGTACATAGATGGCTACCACACAGTTGATTCCATGTATAAGTGACTCGCTTCTAAAGTTGCGAGTTTCAAGAAATTCTAAAGTGGCGAGTGGAGAGCTTCCAGAAATTCTGACGAGTCTGAGATTATCAAAACTCAACGCCTGGCTTTAAACTACAAAGTAAAAAAAAAAAAAAAAAAAAAAAAAAAAAAAAAAAAAAAATTTTTTTTTTTTTTTTTTTTTTTTTTTTTTTTTTTTTTTTTTTTTTTTTTTTTTTTTTTTTTTNAAAAATGGGTTTCTTTTTCCAACTAAAGTTTGTCATGCAATTGACGCGTCCGGTAAAAACGTTTTGCTCCACCCGCGAGCGTTCCACCACACAACGAGATGTTTCATCTTTTTCGTGTAAATAAGGTCCGCACTCGCATTTGTTACCGATAAACTTCATCATGGGTAAAGGATTTGGAATGTCTTGAATGCAATAATCAACTGAACACGTAAAAGGTAAAGTGTTTACCATCGCGTGCCCACGGGCGTCGGGAGAATCACATTTGCATCGGAAACGTAACGTTTTTCCATCAGACAAAGTTTCGTATGCATTTTCAATATTTTCTGCTGGTTTGTTTTTTAAATGGTCCCACAGCACATTTTTACTGTTGTCTCGAGCATCATCACTGTAACACGGATTTTGAAAAATGGATTTGTTTCTCGGAATACAGGTCCAGCCAGATGACGAGAATACGTGATGCGATGTTGTTTGATTGCAGTCACCCACTCCTTTGGGTAAGCAATACGTTCCCGGTACCAGTTTCTGATCCATTAAATATATGGATTCCCCCTCCATCACCTGAAAGGAGACGTACTCTCCATTTCCGCAGATTTGATGACAGTCACAGGCTTCGTCCGTGGGACATTTGAAACCGTATAAAGGACAGGCGAACGCGTTGACGGTGGATATCCACGGACCTTGCAATAAATGGGCCACAGGAGACTCGTTCAAAAATGGTTTGTAAAACAAATTGATGATGGTCACGATCAAAATCAAGAACAAGATGTATTTTCTCTTTACCATTCTTTGTCTATTGTTATTATTGTTCCATTTAGATCCGATTCCGGGTCGACCGCATCACAATCATTATGCCCTCGTGTATTCGTGGAACGAATTCAGGGTCGTACGCATATTCCCACAAAACTGGTACGTGTTGATCGACAAAAACGGTGTATTTTCGTACGAGCCCACGGAATCATTGGAAACGTATATCCCGGCTATTCGTTTGGATAATCATCGAAAATATGACATTTTTCACTATCGTTATTTACTAGATTGGATGAAGGAAGCACCCGTTGTCATATCGTATCCATTAGAAAAGAAAAACTTGGTCGACATTTTAAATTACATTACGTCGACAGCTTAGCCATTTGGGCACACACCAACTTGAACGCGCCAAAGGAACTGGAACCATAAATTTTCAAATTTGAACATTTCTCTTGGAGCGTGGAAATGATTTTGTCTGTATAACTCATCTTTAGAAATCCAATTCGCTCAATTCCAGTCATTTCCAAATACATGATGAGCACATCCAAACCATCTCGACTGCATACCGTCCCATGTTTTTTACAAATCCGAAAAGGATACATGGGGAAGACACTGACGCCTTTCATGGAGCCTTTCATGGTATTGGGGAAGGGCACAATGAGCACACCGACTGCTTTGGAAANGCCATTCAATCCTCTAAATGTTAAATGTACCATTGGAAGATTTTCAATTTCAGATTTTGGAATATCAAAATGAAATCCAGTTTCTTCTTCAAACTCTCGATAGGCGGCTCTAAATAAACTGATAGCGTTTATCTTTTCGTGTCTTTTGACTGAATATGGAAGTTGACCATGAGGAAAATCATACATGTCCTCAAATATCTCGTCATTTTTATAGCGTTGATAATCTATAACATCATGTTGCTGCAAATTTACAAGAATTTTCTTTTCAAACCATTCATGTATGATTTTTTGATTACTCTCGTACGGTATCTTCTTTTTATGTAGGTAATGATAAAAATCCTGTACACAGTATGGAACCTTTCGACGCAAAAGAACAATTTTGTCGGTTGATGTCTTTACGACAAGTCCATAAGACGTGGTTAATTTGCTTTTCATATTGATACTTGAGAATATAGGAATGGCTGGTTTTGCTCTTGCTTTCAAACAAGTGTTGAACATTCACTC